AAAAAAAAAAAAAAACTCAGCCATGGCAAACAACAAAAACACCACAAAATCGGAAGGTTTTTGCCGTAAAATGCGTAATGCAGTAAGCCCTTTTAGCTCAAGAATTCTCCGCATATCTCATCAGCCTCGGGCCTCCATTTCTACCACCGTTGTCACCCACAAAAAACCACAGGCTGCACGAACGAGCTCGGCCCAAGTGGGACCCACTCGTGCTAATTTGCACCAACCTAGTTTAAGCAAAACGATCCCTATCGAATTTAATCATCATCATTCGGGTGAAAGAGAAGTAGAGATTGTTGATAGTGGCCACAAGTTTGCCATAGAGAAATACGATGAAACCAAATTTTCCGATTACATCAGCAAAGTGAAGGAGAGGATGATGAAATCCGCATCGTCGAGCATTGGTGGTGGCAGTGCAGAGGCTCCAACTGTTGCAAAGGATAGCTTTAACGACAAAGTCACCAGCTACATTAATCGAACGAAAGTTATGGTTCGAAAAACGACAAGCGTGGGTGATAACAAAAAGTGCTTTCCAGTCAAGTGAAAAAAACATGCATGGGGAAGATTGTGATTAAGGCATGAAAAAATTATCTTAACTATGTTGGTATTTGATTTATATGGTTGCATGAGTCGACTGAATGATTGTATTGAGCTTGCATATATATTTGGTTGTGTAAGAGTGAGCTGAATAATGTATTGAGCTTTTTCTAGTTTTACTTCATAAGGAAAGATTTGTTAGCTTTATCGATCATGTAAAGAACCAAAAATATTTTCCATAACATAAACGAGAGGACGGGTGGTTCCTATTCCTGTGGCTAGGGGTGTTCACGGTACGTTTTTAATCGAAAAAAACCGTCAATCCGGACCGCGGATCAGTTAAATGGTCAGTTAAAAAATCTTTAAAAAATTCGGTGGTTAATTTTTTTAAAAATCCAGAATAACCGGTCCGGTAACGGATTACATGCGGCAAATCGCCAGTTTAACCGGACCGGATCGGTGAATGTTAAGAAACTATAACAAATATATACATATATATAATATATATGTACATTCAGTCATTCACTATGACCGACGAATACAATACATTCACTTCACTTTTGGTCTTTTTGCATAATTTAATCTTCATCATTTTTGTTTTTTATGTTTACGGGACAAAATGTGTATTTTTATGCTTATGAGACGAATTGTGTATTTTTTTGTTTCATTATTGTTGTTTTTTTTAATTTTTTAGGCTCAAATAATCTCTTTTGGGCCCAAAATTGAAAAATAAAAATTAAGCCCAAAATGAAAAGAATAAAAATTGAAGGCCCAAAACAAAGATTTTGGATTTAACCGATTCATTGTCAAACCGGACCGTCCAATGCAGTCCGGATTTTGGCCGGTTAAAAAATAAAATTGGTCCGGTTATGGACAAGAAAAAAATTAACCGTTAGATCCGGTTTGATCATGGTTTGGGCTAAAACTGGACCAATCCGGACCGTGAATACCCCTACTTGTTGTGGCTAGTTATACTTAGAGCAATGCTAGTACACAACAATTTTTTTTTGTACCAACGCCAAGCCTAGAGTATAACCAAACGGTGATGAGATACGTCCATCCTATCGCGGAGTAACCAAATGCTTGCCTAGTCTATATGAAGCCCACCCGGACCCTTAGCCGCCAACGACGCCAAATAATCTGCCACAAAGTTGGCTTCACGATAACCATGGTTGATCTCGACCATAACCCTCCATGAGGTCCGGTGTAATCGTCCATCTGGACCATCTCAATGATACTCTTGTTATCGATCTCGGCCTACACCTTACGAGCCCCAACATCACAAGTCAGTGATAGACCTTGCCCCATAGCTCTGCTCCAATAATGGAACAAAACCCTATATTCATCAGAAACCCATGTACCAAGTTCCCAAGGTGATCCCGGATTACCCCACCGGCGCTCGCCATACCTGTCACCGGATTATAAATTGATACCTTCCAATCATTGATTCGATACGTCAAGCACTAAGTACAATTGAGACCTTTCTTTGGTTGAAGGCATTCGTCAAAGACCTCACCGGAGCTGATTCGAGAGCGCTTCTCTTTGTTATTGTTTTCACAACTATGATCGGAACATACATCTTAATGCACCCGTTGATCTCACGTGCCTTCAACTGTAAACGGGGACAGTAGCGTAGCGAATATGTACAGATTGCATTTTACAGTTGAATCGGATTGATCCTCATCTACGATATTGTTAGTTGACAAGTGTAATCCTTCATATAGAAAAATCCGAAGATGAAAGAGAGGCGGTATCAAAGCTCCCATCCGTATTAACCTTCACTACTGTCGCCGCCGGGCCTTCCCAGGAAATCTAGCGCGACTCGCGGAACCCACACATCCCCACACGACGACATCCTATCAAAGCACGGCGCCCCATGTTTACAAACAAAGTCACTTCTCCAATACGCTGGGGAGAAGATAGTACACAGCATTTTAAATTCTCTATGTAAGATAATTGATTTGTTTCAACTTTCAAGTCTATGGTTGATTAATAAAAACGGGCAAAAGGAAAAAAAAAGTGTATCTGTCACCAATCTTTGGATGAAAATAAACAGAATTAGAAAAATTGAATCATACAATAGGTACAAAGCTAGGAGAGAAACAATGTGAATTGATAGTTAGTTAAAATTATCTGAGTGGAAGACTAAAGTTGATGCGACGTGTAAGAATGAATGATTGACTTGTATTATTTAATTATATTGATAATATCGAGAATAATGATGTTGAGTTAAAGTTGAGTTAGATTTCGAGTACAAATTGAACGTGAATGAATTATTTTATAAAGGAACATGCTCACTGTTACAAATAACATTACCTAGAATTCTCCAAAATTTCGAAAATTTCCAGACCTAATAAGATGCTAGGGATTGATTATTGGTTGCTCCTATTTGAGAGAATTTATTCTTGATGGCTGCTACTATAAGCTTTTTCTCCAGCTGTGGTGAAAAAGAAAGGGAGCAAACAAATTTGCTAGTAAATGGAATATAACAAAATAAAGGAAAAAAGAGAAGAAGATAATAAATCTCACTCTCTTTTTTGCTAGCCCACAACCTAAGGATAGAATCATCTTAGAGCAAGAACTTTTTTTTTTTTTT